AAACAGTAATGGTCCCAATATTGACTCTTGTGGTACCCCTGATTCAACTATACATGGTTGAGATAAAACATGCATGTTTTGTTTTTGAATTCTAGTAATAACTGTTTCACAGGTATTTGCTGAACCTAAATAAAGAATTTTCCCTAACTCCATAAGACTGCAGCTTTGCTACCAGTAAATCAGAATTCACCAAGTCAAAACCTTTTGACATGTCAATTAGGATAAGTACAGTAGCCATACCTTGATATTTTGCTGTTATTATGTTAACAACACTAGACAGTGTTGAAACAGTGTTAATACCCTTCCTAAATCCAGCCTGACGAAGAGGAAATAAACTGTAAGTGTTTAAGTGGTCATATAGTTGGTCATATACAATTCTTTTGAGTATTTTTGATCCAGTTGTCAGAATATTTATTGATCGCAAATCTTTACCATCTTTCACAGGGTTTAACTTGGGTATCAGTTGTATTATGCAATTTTCCAATGATTAGGTGTCACTCCCAGTTCTAATGATACATTAATTATGTGCGTTAGGAGAAGTAAACAATATGGCAGTAGCAGCTGCAACATATACACGGATATACCATCAATTCCCACAGGTTTGGATTTAATTCTATGTAGCGCTTTTTTTATACATTCAGAATATACATATTGGAGGTTAAAGGTTGGTACGTCACCTTTAGTATTATAACATAACCTTGATTAATATCAGGTTTCAACATGCAACTTTGAGGGTACTCACTTATTACTTGAGGGTCATTTAGCTCATGCGGTAATTCCACATTTTTAACTCTTTTGTGAAATCCTAGCTTTTTTGATTCTAACCAAATGTTAGTGTTATTATTCTGGATTTGTTTAAACTCTTGCTTAAAATATGCAGCTCTTTCCCTATGTATTGCTTTTCTCACCTCTTCTCATATTTTGAAAATATGCATGTGATTCTATAGTCTGTTTTTTTTTTAGATAACTCTTCTTAGCTTTTTCTCTTTCTTTAATTAGACACTTAATATTAATGTAATCGAAGGTAAACCTTTATGTGATATGATTTTTGTAGTTTTAAGTGGAGCATTCACATAAAAAATTTGCAGAATTTTTTCATTAAACAAGTTCAATTTGTCATTAATATCTTATGTCAGGTGTATTATGATGTGGAGTGGCGGGAGGTTTAACGGCTCCCATTGCTGCAGCGCGAGTCGAGCGTATTGCCCCCGTTATACCCAAGCACGCCAGTCTGCACCTGGCTTAGTCCAATGATTTCAAAGTAATTTTTGTATTTATTCAACATGGGGCAGTGGGCGTAAACGTGAGAGCCGCGTGATTTAATTTTTTGCATAGTACATATTTTATCATTTCATATTTTTTGTGAAAGTTTCATTAGATGTTTACAATATAATATATTTATGTAAAGTCGTCTCTGGAATTTATCGCTTCCTTCCGATCTCTACTAATGAATAATACCAAGAGTTTGTAGTTAATCAACAATTTGTAATGAAATGTTTTATTCAACTATTAGTTATCTCCTCTTAAGTGTTGAAAACAAGAAATTGGTTTTTTAAAGGTAAAAAAATAATGCAGAGTCCTTTATGTATGTTAGTGTTGCTTTTATAGAGGTTATAAGTTTCCAAGGCAACAAAAGAGTATTTACGATATGTTATCTTCAGTACCATAAATTTCAAAATTAAATCAAGATCCAAATAAAAACAAAAAATTATGATCGTAGTTCAAAGGATACCTACATACTTCTATCTTGTCAATATGTCTGTTTTATTATAGAATTTGTGGCTGTAACTATATTTTAGTATATTGTATAAAAAATTTCAGGAAACTCGTCGTGATTCTGGTTCAAGTACGCAGCATAGTGGTGGAAGTTCCTACTACTGCTGTCAAGAACCAGACTGCAGGGCTCGTCAAGTATACCCACCGCCGACAACATTCAAAAGACAGAAATGCCTTCGATATAAACGTGATCGACCGATTCTTCGGTCTAAGTCGGATATAAGTGATCGGTACTGGAGACCACCGGAGCCTCCCACTAGCCATCTACAACAATTTTTTGAACATTTAGGTTTAACCAGTGACAGTTATGAAGAAATGTTAAGTAATAGTGGGTCATCAGATAGCCCAATATTTTTTTCAGATGTGTCCACTGTCGATTCCAGTAGGCCCATTGACAATGTCGATTATTGTCCTCCCTCGTATAGATCTAGCGAACCCCCTTCAATTGTAGAACGCAATGCTCGCATTATCAAATGGCTGTGTAATTGTCGTAAACTACAACTTACTTGATTTTAATTCAGCAGGTTGTTAACAGAGTTTTATTTTATTAATGTCTGTCTGAAGATTATAATTTTTTGTGTCTATAATAGCCGTATTACACGATCCGGTGTGTGTAATGCAAGAAAATCTGCGGATTTATCGGTCAAATAAAATTGTTCAATAAATTGAGCAATTAGAACATGTTCTATTTTTCGACGATTTTATAGGGACTTTCTAATAACATAGTAGATTAATTTGTTTACTATTCCTAATCAGAAGTAACAAAATGCCAACAGAAGATCAGTGTCTTCAATAGAATATACAATTGCAAATGTCAAAATATCACTAATTAAGGCAACAAGTGACAACTGAATGGTAACAGTCTGGGAAATAACTAAATGGATGGTTGGCGCACCTGATGTAACAAAAATAAATTGAATAATAATCGACAATTAATTGATCCATTTCTAATCATATAATTTAACCAATTTGTCAGCTGATTTATCGTTTCGTGTAATATGGCTATAAAAACTGTATGAACAGAAAATATTTCAATATATATATAAAATACAAGGTATTACATAGCAGCAATGTTTTTGGCGACGGTATTAATTTGTACTTACATATTTTGCAACAAATTTAGAGTGCTATATGCTACTCTAGCAATATCTGTTATATCAAATACATATTATATTTTAAAGTATTAAGACAACAGAATATTATTAGAAACAGTTATGACTGGTATTTAATTATTATATATAGTAAAGTTACATTGAACTGTTTATAACGTAATACATATTTAAAAATATCAGAGTGGTTCTAAATGAAAGGGAAATGAGCAAATTCGAGTCTCTTGATCTGATCCTGTGAGACTGTGGTTGGTGATAGTTCATCAGGCTCAGTATAGATCAGGAATGGTAATTATGTTATTCTGTTTTTCTAAATCAATGTTTAACATAAATTTATACTTGTGCAGCTCTGAAACACTTTTTGAGAAGACCCTCTGATCAATACAAGCACCAAACACTGCACACTACACTCAATGTGCATTTCGCCACAAAGTTGACTCGGTTTCAATCACCTGCAGATGATGCTAACTTAGTTGGCGAAACACACGTCAAGTGTAGTGTTTGTGGAAAGTACATCAAAGTTTCTAACCTTCCTCAAGGTAATTTTGTACATTTTATCAAAATCAGAGCGAAAGATTCTGTCTTTGTAATTCGTATTATTTATTTTTTGTAAATTGGATGTAATAAAAAATAAGATTTTATAATAGAAGAAAGTTATAAACAAGAATTTATAGTTAGTGATGTTATTAATTATTTTATTCAAGACTTTGCGTTCCCAAATATAACAATACCTTGCATATCTATTTTAAATATAATAAAAATTTGTATGTGCAATATATAAACATTCATAATTAATGATAATTAAATGTAACATTTGTAATTAAAAAAAAAATTAAAATTATAGCACAAAACATTCCGCGAAAAGATTGTACTGTTTACAGTCTTTTTATATTTATATGAATATTTAATTTATGATTGGTTTGACTGGTAGGCTAAGATGAAGTCGGATGAATGAAAATTTTTTAAAAAATGCACACAAGAATGTCTGTTTCTTATATTATCTATGTAGCTGTAAATTGAGGACAAATAGTGTTAAATTAGTGTCTAATTATAAAGATTACATATTTATCCTTTCCTGTTAAAATAACATTTTCTATCACGTAGTTGCCTTTTCTAAAAAGCAACGCTAACGTGCATTTTTAGATATCTCGATGTGCTCAAAAATTATATGACATGATCTTTCTTAAACATATTTTTTGTTCTATAGAATCAGATAATTTTTAAAATTAGACACAAACATTGCAAATACAGGGTGATCAATAAATCGCATCTAAGCCAAATATGTTGAGGGTTAGGTCAAAAATGAAAACAAGCATAGTAGTCAATGTAAACTGTGAATTCATAAGCTAACGGTGATGTACATTATAAATTTCCCTAAGTTCGGTTTCATCCATGCCTTTCAAGCCACTTTCCTAATAATATTTCATATATGAATGATCCTTGTTTATTATAGTCATCGTAATGAATTTTTTCGATGACACCGAGAGACAATATTAAGGTGAACTTTATAATGTAAATCTAATTTGTAGATGACATTTATTGGTACCATCAATTCACTAGTTATATTTATTTTGAACAAGGCTAGTATATGTATTTATAAATAATTATAGTTTCCACTGTAGGTGCAACAACAGGGTTGTTCTAAGTCATTAAATTGTTGTGATAAATCGGTACATTTTTGTACTAGATTTAGTGAAAAAGTACGAGATGTAAATGATGAATTTAAACGATGAGTAGCGTATTTAAAACTATACTAACCTGGCAGATCCTGGCCATATATGCTGCTCTGAAAGTTATTGGCAATAATCATTACGTCTAGCCCAGCACTTATGCTGGTTTGAGGACTCTATCTATTGTGTTTTATAGGTTTTAGGTTTTTTACGAAGTTCTATGCAAGGTTGAGGAAATAAAACAAATATGGTTTTAATGTGTATAATAAACCAAAAGAAATTTTATTGCCAGTAAAATTGTTGTATCAAATATTTTATACCTAATTTATTTATTTGATCTAAGATTTGTTATTCCACAAATATTCTAGTCGATATTATTAATTGACAAGTACTGAAAGTAAATTTAGAGCCTTCAGAATTATCACCAAAATGACACTAAATGAAACTTCCATAACAGGAATCGAACCTGGGTCTCCTGCTTAGGAAACCAGGTATCCCGACCACTAGACGATATCGGAGATAGTCTCTAGAACAAAGCTGTGGCGCTCAGTTCTTCCACTATTATCCCAACATGGTGTGATTTGTTGTAACCAGAATTCAGCTACTCATCCAGCTTTGCGATCGAAATATGATATGTAGAATAAGGAAAGAGTACGATTCTAGAATCAGAATTGTGTGAACAAAACATGCCTAGACTATGGCCTGTAGAGTGTATTACTACATTGTTTCTTTTCTTTAACTTTTTCATATTTTATATATGTATATTTAATTTATATATTTTACATGTATTTGAATTGCTTATAATCACATATCCAAATGTATCATTGCTTTTATGTTTTATAGGGTGTGGAAATTTTTATAATTTAAATAAATCTTTCCTGTAATTCCAAAACCAACAATATTATAGTGGCTTCGTGGTCGAGTGGTAAGGACACTTGCTTCTCACCCTAGAGTCCCGGGTTCGATCCTTGATCGAGGTGCTAGGATTTTTCTAAACTAGAAATTAATCCTAGCATACTCGGATATTGGGTGTGTGTCTACTGTCTTTGTGTAGCCCTCTCCCACACAAGGTACTTTGAGGTACCTTCAGGGATACAGGGGGTTGTGGTGTTTAATTGTGATTTAATTTTGCTTTCGAATAGTTAAAATAATTTGATATTTGATGTAATTTTATTTTTCAAAAATGCTTTTGTTGTTATTTTAAGTAGGACATTAATGAAATTACGAAGAAAGTTGTAACGTCAGTTGCCTGGGTAGCTGTCCATGTTGTCCAATTTGTTTTGTTGTTTCGGTACCGTAACAAAACATCACCCTATAGTAATTCTGGTAGTGCGTGTAGCATCTGATTGTCAGAATAATTGTACCCCTCTTGTAATTCCTTGACTCGTTCCAGAAATGTCCTTTTACCCATCAAAACGTACATTCCACTTACGTACTTCTGTTAACACGGTGCCTTCTGTTTCCGACATATCTTAAAGTATCTCTTTCTCTTTTTGTCTGGTAATTAAATATGCTGAAGCGTCAAATGATGCAACGTCTTTCTTTTTACTGGTAACTTTCTTTGTCGGTCAATCTCTCCCTCTCTCTGGTAATAATGCCTTCTTTTGGCTTTTAAATTTGTTTCACCCTGTATATCACTGGTAAAATATTTTAATTTATTTTACTGTCTCTACTTCTTTGGTTAAATTAAACCTGCTCGGGCGCCATTTATATAACGTCTGTTGCCTGGGTAGCTGGTTTGGAGATATAACTACAGGGTTCAGTTACTATTAATGAATAAAAGTCGGAGCCTTGGTAAAATAAATGGTTTTATTCTATTTAACTGTGGTGAACATATCAGGGTATTTAATTAATTAAATAAACATTCTTCTTGACGGGAACATCAGAGAGAGATAGACGGTGCTGTGGGCGACTAGGCAAACGACGCGACGTCTCCGGGTTTCTGGATGCCGGCCCTGGTGTTTAAGTACCGACACTCCCCCAGCTCACCGCGCTCAAGAAGATGTCAGACCACACGGTTGCCGTGAACTCAGCTTCGTCATTGTTGTTACGACAAATATACTGCAGGTCCTAGTATGTTCAGCCACAGCTTTCAGCTCACTGTGCTGTAAAAGAGGTCTGTTTACACACACTATGTACTCAGCAGGTTATTATCAGTAACGACGAACGGCGGTAGGTTCGAGTGAGTTCAGGCGCTTCTTTCAGCTCACCATGCTGTAAAAGAGGTCTGTGTACTCACTGCCGTCTACTGGATTCTTGGCTGCTTTTATAGTCGATCTCGGCTGGAATAGATGGGGCCACTCGTGCTGAAATGAATAGCAGGTTCCGGGCAAACGCAGCGTCATCCATCTCCTGTCTCTCTTGCCGGCCAGGTCGGGTTAGCTGGTGTCTTACAGTAATGAAAGGATGGTTCATTATAAAGCTATTAAAAAATATTTATGCTACAGTACATTTTTGTGAAAAAAATTCTTAATTTTTTAAATTATTCCTCGTAAATTCTAACTGAATATTTTTGCTTGTTTTTGGGTTATTAGTAAAGATAATTTATTTTATTAAAACATTCGCAGTCCATATAATTGTAGTTGAAGTTCGTTTTCATTTTTGGCACAAACCTTACTATTTTAAAGAAATTAGACTGGACGTTCAGTATTGATCACTTGTATACATCCTTATGTCAAATTACCTGTTTTAATAGGTTTGTTCCAGCAGAAAATCACAAATGGTTTGATGAATTTTGAATTTTTTGAATGCCTCTGTCTAAACATCAACTAGTCGGGAATTAATTGACAATTTATACTGCTGGAATGAAATTTTTTCTTCTCCTGCTTTTTCGCACTTTAGTTCTCCGCATAACATTTGATTGAAACTTATAAATAACATAACCTAGCTATTTTTGCAACCATTTTGAATCATTTCTGTTTAAATTTCCTAAAACAATAGTTTTAGAAGATGGAGCGAATTATTTCTGTCTTTATGCAAACTATAGAATGCTACCATAGAATGTTAGGTTATTCACAAATACGTTTATATTTCAAATAATTTTAAAAGACATTTTATATTTGAACTGCTCGTGACCAGAAAAAAATCCGTAGAATATCCGCGAAACTAATCAGTTGACTTGCCGGAACGCTAAACTGGTAGTCGGATTCCCTGATTATTGTCTGCTGGAACGCCAATTTTATTTTGCGAATGTGGAGTACAGTTTGAAACCGTTCTGACTGCTGCTGGAACAAACCTAATATCTTCTAAATATGTTTTAAATAGCTCGTATACTATTCAAATCTACACTATTGCTACCTACATCATTTTGATATAATGTATTGAAAATTTAGTTGCATTTTTTTAAATTTAGGCAAAAACTAGTAAATTTCATGATTTAAAAATATGAAATAATTTTTGATTTTGTTTCAAATTGCATAAAAATTGTTTCAAATTACATAAAAATTGTTTCAAATTGTGTTCTTGATTATGTTGATAAATATAAGTGTCCAAATGAAAAAAGATTAAGTTTCGAACATTATTTTGTGTTTGTATCAGAAATTTTATTGTAGCATATTAAAAATCGACAAAAAAAATATATTTACACCCGATTTTTTTACTTGGATAAGTCATTTCTGCCATGCTGCCTATTTTCTTGATTATCAGAAGAATATATCTGATGTGTAGTTTTTGATAAATTTGAGAAATGAAAGAATATAATTTAATTCTCACACCACAATCTAGTTTTTCCAATCTCAATGTAAACACTAGAAAACACCTGACAAAGTAGTTCACTCATAATTACATCCATGCCATGGGTGTCAAACAAACGGGTATCGTTGGTTATATTCAAGCACGATTTCCGTGTTATTCCATTGCAGACAGACTTTGTAATGAGGTTCCCTGGTAGCAGTGATTTAGATGGACTGTTTACGCTGAGATTGGAAATACTATACTTTAACTGTGTTATTAATTTGGCTTACATATGTTTAGTTAATACCTACAACATATTTCTACGCCAATCTTCCTGGTGTCAATATTGCAGATGAAGTGTGTAAAATTTGATATTGTGTATAAGCTAAGGTAAAGTAACATAACTATCTTAATGTGTTAAAATGTAAAAAATTTTTTATGTTCTCCCTTGTTCTGAATAATATAAATAATTTATAGCTGTGATGTATAAACCAAATTGGTAATATTGGTAAATATGAGAAATAAGCCCATGACAATATTGTATAATTTAATGTCAAAGAAGTATATTTATAAAAACTTAAAATAAAAATAATTTGGGTGCCGATTGGATATTTTTACCTAAACCTAAAATGTTGGTATGCCAAATATGTTTCTGCAGTTTTTTTTACTCATTTTTATGTGTAGGTTTTAGATCTAGGTGATGTTACTCTGATAACCTGGAGCATTTTGATATATCCAATATGGCGGTCAAAATGGTAAAAATTAAAATTCCTATCTTTATGCAACCAATAAATTTCTGTAATTTCTGTAATTCAACGAGTTGTCTACCTTTGGTTTACATTGCAATGTTGCCATTTAACAGACCCTTGTCTAATAATTCAATACATGTACTGTATATATATAATGCGAGTAATGTAGCCTCTTGTCATCTTTCCTTGCCTCCCCCCTCTTTCAAACGCCCCATATCACATCCCTTGGACGTTTGACACTTCGATATACTTAAGGCTAAAAAGGCATCGCATATAAAAATGAGGCGAATCAAAATTTCTGGTTCCCAATTGGCACAAAACAAATTTATCTTTCAAAATTATTTAAAAGTGGTTAAAAATGCATTCAAACTTTTAAGGTCAGAATATCTTTTTTTTTGTATATATATATTTCTTTAACACAATAATAAGAATATGTAAATTTTGGTATTTACAGATGGTTTTAAATGTTCTACATATTTTTAAATTGAATAGCTGGCTAAATTACTATATATTTCAGTGTATGTAGTTAAATAATTGATAGTACCTTATCATTAAATTAAGAACTGAAAAAATATTTCTACGCTGTTAAGATAAAGGGGCGTGTCACAAAATGTTAAGTTTTGAGATAAGCCTGTTATGGAAATTTTTTCTCTGTGTACTATCAAATGACTAAAGACCGCATCTCAGATTGTCATTTCGCAAATATCAGTTTGTGTATGAACACTTCAATATTTTCATATGCAAAAATGATGTACAATACAAAATAGTCAATATCTTACCTTATACTTTTGATGCGTGATTCTTTTAATGTCCAAAATTAGATGAATGCTAAACATTTAGCAAAAACACTATTGCACTATAACAATTATTTTTGGGCACTAGAATAGAAGTATATTATTAGTATTTGTTCTAAATGATTTGGAGTTAGATTCTGGCGCCTGTCGTTAAAAATCCATTTGTAGTCTGAAAACGACCATTCCACGTCTAGACAACTGGAGTGTATTTAAATACAGAAAGTTTCAAAACGTTCGATTTTCGTGTACACAAGATAAGTCTATAGCATTTGCAATAAAGTTCTGTGCCATTAAACTGTAGCTCTGGGTTGTTTTGGATCCACCGGTCCATGATATTTAGCGAAGGAACGCGTCGAGACATTTTTTTCATAATACAATAAAACAACTCGATCTATCGAAATGCAATTCCACACTGCTGATCGTCGGGCCGTCGGTGTCTCGGCAAGCTCACACGTATCTTCAATTGCGATGTATGTAGGTGGTGGGAGTTCTGCCTTACACATATATCTGCTTATTTATTTATTTGAACTGCGACATAGGCGTTTTCAATTCATAACAAAGCTTTTATGATCATACAAAACCTACATTTAATTTAGTGCTTTGTTATTTAGTAATTCTAGGGCCGGACTGGTCATTGGCAGAAGTGGGAAGTCCCACCGGGCCCTCTTAACTCAAACGAAAAAAATCTATAACCATGATACGGTTCACGAAACAAAAATATTTAGTGTCTAATCTCTAGTCATTATTATGCATCGACGAGGCGGTCG